TTGTTCGGAGTGGGTAGAACTAAATTTACATTTTATGGAATTCTTTGATTAAAAATATCTGAAATGTGTTTGTCACACAATGTGTTTGATTTAATTCATGAGAGAGATGCATTTCTAAATTAAATTTTCCAGTTGCCACTCTATCTCATCTCTATGTGTTTGTTTTCTTAAATAAGATTGAACCCCTGTATATATATTTTTTTCTTTATCTTCTATTTTGTTAATGTTGTTCTGTGAAAAATTATGATTTTTTCTCCTAGGCCTTATTAAAAAATTGAAGTGATAGTCGGTTCGATCAGTTTTTACTTTTTAGTATAACATTCTTGGTATTTAGTAGCTTTCAACTGAAAAAAGAAGAAGAAAGTTATTCGGTCACTCTTTTCTCTTGTGTGACTGTATATGTGGCAACAACAAAACAATCTAAATCTTTATATATGTTGTAAGATTAAATATGCCATTAGGAAAGATTAACATTCAACATCAAAATACAATATTAAGTTGAGATTGAGATGCACATTGTATTTTATTGCTCTTCCTTGGTGCATGTTGCTATTTTTCCTTGAGATTGAGATACAATATTGAGCTGAGATGCTATTTTTACATCTGAGATGGCTGCTCAATAATTTGCAAGGCTATTAAGTCTTTCATAATGAAACTTTGTTAATTTCAAGTATATGCACTTTTCCTATCTACTTCACTCATGGTTGTTCCTACTCAGGAAAGAATTATTCCTATTGCAGTAATTCAATCACAAATTTATGTGTGTCCACTATATATCAAAATATATATGCTTTTTATTGATATAACAAACACGTAATTCGCTTAAGTTGACAGATGCAGAGTTTACAGATCGAGCCAGAAATGTCTGCCAAATGACTTGTAGCATTTTTATGTGCTTGGATGCACAGATTGCAAACAAATTATGTCAGCTCGAAGAAAAAGAATATTTTATTGAACAAGTGCAAAAGATATACAAACATTAGTTCATTGGTATTATTATTTCACCCACTTAGAAGCTTCACGTATTTAGCAGATTATCATATATAGATACAATTATATACATATATATATATATATATGCTAAAATATTTTTGTTACAGATTTTTATTACAAATTGATCTTACCAATGGAAATGGGTCAACAACTGATGTGATTTCTGGTCTTCTTGGAGAAAAGATGCTTTCAAAGACAGCTGCAGAAGTTTATGAAGCGACTTTAATTAAGGTATGTATTAAATCAATTGTTATCTTGTAAAATTTTCAATACCAGTTGATGTGCACATATATTTTTATATTAGAATTATTGAGAGTTGTTTCATATGTAAATAAAGAGAGTATAACTTTCTTAAATATTTACCTTTAGTTGATCGTTTCTCCTTATAATTTTTGCTTAATACAACAGTGAAATAAATTTTGTTGTTGGACGGCCTTGCATCCGTTTAGCTACTTTGACATTCTTTGGTATCTCGCGACTATTAACAAATAATAGATTGTGCTATTAATAATTTTAGAGGAAAAATACACTAGACACCACTATCCACCTATTTCATGTACTAAAATTGAATGACAAATGAAAACTCTGCAAATGTTATCTAAAACAAGACATTGGGTAACACCAAGACAAAGGAATTAATTAAATAGTGAGAGAAAGAGAGCACGATCTTTGTGGGATGACTTGAAAGAGAGCATGATCTTTGTGAGCTAAATACGATTTTTATTAGGACCTATGAATGTTCCCAAGATAGGATTAATCTTTATGGTTTGATTCATGTTAACTGTATTCTTCTATTTTAGTAACATCATTTTTGACAAAAACAATTGTGCTCTCATTGGTTATCAAAATAAAAAGGTTGTGAACTCATAAATGGATCCTTCATTTCTTGACCTTTTCATCTATTATCTTTCACCTTGGATAGCGAGTCAAGATATTTATTTATATGCATCAAATGTAAAAGAGATTTTTGTCCATTTAACTTAGTCCATCAGCCTTATCTGGCCGTTCTCATCCTCGTGGGATCATGGAGGAGATTTCCTTCAATATTAAAGAAAATTATTATACTAGTTAGTAATAATCTCTCTGGTATGAAAGTTTCTTCACATTCATCTTTCGCTTCTCTAAAATAGTGTAATAGTGCCAATAAAATATTACTTCAAGATTTTTTTCATGTTCTTGACTTTTAATTGCTATTGAAAAAAGTTAATTGATCAATCGTCTATTTTAGTGGAAGTTGTGCCAGATACAAAGTAAAGGCAGTGAATTTTATACACAACTTCTTACATGTCACTCGGTGTATGAATTATGCAGCTCTATGAAAATAATGGTTTGGCCCAATTATAATTGAGATTGTTTTCAATTCGTATCATGTTGAATTTGTCGCTATTAAGATCTTAAAAATAGTTAAGGAAAGAAAGGAAGTTGGATCTGAAAAGGATTTACTGCAAATGATTCTTGAAGGAGCCAGAAATAGTGAACTAATTAGCCATGATACATTAATTTGATCGTTTCATAGTTGATAACTGCAAAAATATTTACTTCGTTGGTTATGTTTTTGCGTGTCTCGTGCTTTTGACTGCAAATCCAAATTGGCAACAACGTATCCGTACTGAGGTCATACAAATTTATAAGGGTCGAATTCCTGATGCTCTGACATAATTCGAAAGATGAAACGACAAGTACTTAATTATAAAGGTTAGTTTCATAAATTGGCCTGTTTGATCGAACTTCCAAAACCAGCTTAGCTTGAAATATGTTTTTTGTCAGAATACTTTTCTAAAAAGTTATTCTTGGAGAGTAGTACTTTGTGTTTGGCTGATCAATTTTAAAAAATAAAGTTGTCAATATTAAAGTAGTAATTTGTGCTTAGCCAAGGTTTCAAAAGTGTTTGTAGAGAAAAGTTGTTTCTTTCAGCGTCTCATAAATAATTATTTTTCCCCCTAACAACTTAGCTAAACACTTGAAGTCTCTAAAATAAGCTTCTTCTTTTTTTAAAAAAAAAATGCACTTTTAGCTTGCCAAAAACTTGGCCAAACATGCTATTAGAGTCTTAAGTTTGCTTCGTATGGAATACCTTGTTTGCAAGTTTTAAGCAATCCGCCTGATATCTTTTCTCATTTTGCCCTTGCTTTGCCTCTGCGATTGATTCTTATAATTATTGTTGCTTAATTTTATGTTTCTGCTGGTGAAGATTGCTTTTTCTTTTTTCTTGCTTAGTCATATAATATTCACATAAGCCATAACAAATATTTTGATTGTACCGATCTTATTTCACGCTACACACTTATGATGTTCATTAAAATATTCTCCACTTTTGTCACTTGGAGATCTCAACTCTTTCAATGAATTTTTTTTTTTCTTATTTTAACTACTGAATATATGGTGCAGCCTGGTGACAAGAGGGACTCTTTTAAGTGTTCAAGTTTTCAAAGAAAGGGATTCCAACATTGTCTTGGGTGGATGAAGAATTATTTAAGGCTATTTCATAGTAAAGCATAAAATTGTAGGTGTCAAAATGACATACTAAGATCCTCTCTCTGTGTAGCTGGCATGTATCGATGAGTTGAAGAATGGCCACATGAAAAAGCTAGGGAGGTGTATTATTCACTTTTATCTTTTGTATTATTCAGTGTTGGTAAACACAATCGAGAATTTTGACCAGTTCATCAACTTTCTTTATAAGTTGTAATATTTACCTCTATTTTTTATTAACATGTCTGAAAAAGATGCTCTTTTTCCTCTATGTTTTCCAAACTAAATAGTATTTTCTTAGCACTGTCGTTTGCATTGGCCTTAATAACGATGGGGATATTTGAAATTTTTCAGAGCAGACAAATCTTTGTGTTGGGCCTGTGCATTAGCATGGGCAACCATATCTAGCATATATATATATATACTAGGTGGGGATAGCCCGTGCCAGCACGGCCCCAACATTGCAAAAGTTAGAATTATTATTTTTTTATTTATTAACTTTATTTTCATATGAAATTTGAAAATCGATGCGTTTGGAACAAAAATTTCACTCGATGTTGTAAGGTTGGCAAATGATATACTCTTTACATCTATGGCAGTAAAAAGTGTCAGATTCTTTGTATTATGTATAGGAGAACCATTTACATTCTATACTATTTACATATTGGCTGTCACAATGCTTTTTCTGTGCGGTGTTTAGCCTTCTTAGCAATTTTTGACCAAAAAAGCCTATAAATTATGAAGTAATGATCGATTGTCAGTGTTCATATCTCAATGAAAAAGTGGAAAAAGACAATTAAGTTTTGCCAAAGTGACGGCCAAGAATAACAAAGAGGAAAATTTTAAAGTTTTCAAGGTAGAAGAAAGCAAAGAGACCTATTTGGCCAACTTTAAATTTCTCCCAACTGTATTGTTAGATCATTATTGTTATTTTAAACATTAACATATTCTTTCATGTAGGTGAAATGCAATCCTTCAAGATGTGAAATGTTCTGAAAATGCATCAAAAAGATCGACAGATTCAAGTCATGTGAATTTTGAATTTTGTGTGCCTAAGATAATATGAAGAAGAAAAAAAAAAGGCTTATTTGAGACAACAAAGCATAAGGGAACATGCAAAATGCACTTTCAAAACCTCTTCCCAATATAACTTAGCATACTCTCTAATATCAATAGTTATACAAAATCTGAGAGTTTTTGGACAGCGTGAGATATGTGGCTCATCTGTATTCATAAGAAATATGTTATAATATCAGTTCATCTTTGCCTATTCATCAAAACCGCAACAATAAGTTATCCTTGATTTAAAAAACTCAGTTAATTGAAATTTAGCGTGCTTCAAAAATTTCAGTATTTATAAGGTTAACGTTTGCCTCTAAACAGATGGTATCACCTGAATGAGCTCCAAGATCCCGATGCTAGTGAGCTATAAACTAAAGCTATTATGATCACACACCATAGTCAGTCTAGCACTCGGAAAAAAGTGTCTGACACATAAAATTCAAATCCAATTTACTTAAAAAAATTAAAACAAATTAGGCAGTCAACAGCGAGACGAAAGAAGCTGGAATTTAAAACCTGAGAACACAACACTTTTATTCTATGCTTAATAAAAGAGAAACTTAAATTTTTGCACACCTTGACATAGATCCTGTTGTCGAGGGTGAACTTATGGTAATTCTAATAGGTAAGACAATCAGATCACCAACTTTAATCCAAGATACAAATTTAGCGATCATCCTCGTCTCTTACATCAAGATATCCACTCCTTCAAGACAGCATTATATCTCCTCGTCTGCATGTATGTGCTCAGGGTAGAAATTTTTCGACTTCTACTCATAGTTGGCATGTGCCCGTGCGGCGCCCGATCACACTGTTTCTTTCACTATTAAATCTGCATCCTTTAACTTCATAATTTTGTAATTCATTTAGGACCAACATTTTTTCAACATATAATAAGAAAGTGCAAAAAATCACACTTATATAAAGTTAGGAATTAACAATGCGCTTATTTAGCAAGTAATCAATTATCATTAACTCAATTACATAAGATATGTCAAATCTTTATAATTTTAAATTGAATAATTTTAGAGTTCATTCAAATCGAGTACAAAGCATTTATAGATGTTCCATCGTAATTACAACATCAACATCATGAGTCCTCGTGCAAATGAGGAGTCTCACATCATAACTGATGCATGGAGGAAAGAAGAACCAACTTTCTTTGATAGTACTACCTCGACTATTTTCAGGTTGTGCTTTGTAATGACGGAATGAACCAAACTTCAAGGTTAAATATATCAATAGATGTGAAAATTGTAAATGAACAGGAATGACTGTGTATACAATATATATGTAACTTGATAATGAGGTAACACCCAATGTCAGGTTATACATACATCTAATGTACAAAAAGTAAAATGGTGACCATTTGATCCAACTCGAATATCAAAGAACTCTGACATAAAGATTACTTTTAATGATATAAGCTTATTTGTGACATCTGGATGACATTTCTTGTGCTTGTTCCATGCTTTATTTTATGATTAATTTTCTTTCACTAATAATATTCATAACCTTAAAATCCACCATATACGAAAACTGGATGGTGAATCAAGTAAAAAATAGCTGCTCTAATTTTTAGGTTCATACTCTTCGGTGCAACGAATGGACGTTGCTACAGGTCCTTAAGATTTGTTGAGACTTACCTCAGTTATCTATGTATTTCCTTGAGGATTATGTTTCAACACTTACAACTACAACGTAGAAAGAGAGACAATAGACACAGAACTCTTGCAGATTATGAATTTCCTTTGTCACTTCATTCAATAACTAATATTTTACACAACTAAGGCGAATAAAGCAGGAAATGGAGCATTATTTTTGGATAACCATATGGCATTTTGACCTTATACCACTATAATCTTCCTAAGATTTTTTGCACATGGTAATAGAAGAGGAAAAGAAGAATGTGCAACCATAAAAACACGCTAAAGAATTTTTTTAAAAAGAGCACTCACTGGACTCCTCCCCAATGATATCTGCATCAAAATGTCTTAACACCAGCAGCAATAGAAGGATAGTAACAACCTAGAAATGCATCAAAGACAATAAAATGGTCAGAACATTGTAGTATGACAATTTCTACCAATAAATTTATATATTCTCCTTTAAGAGCACAGACTGTTAAAACAAAAAGAAATTCATAAATGTTGATGTAAATGCTTTTCAAGGGAATTATAGCACGTAAAATAATACACATAATGACCATACACCGAGAATCTAAAAACAGATATTTTCAGGTCTTAAGTATTTAGTATTTTATCACACAAACTCTAAATAGTAATCTGAATAGCATCTTACAATATAACACCTAAAATTCTAGAATGGACTATTGTAATTGCACCTACTTGTTCCTCTCACAAATTACTATTATAATAGAAAAAAATCAAATAATTCCGTTTATGCTTCTATATAACAACAGAACACATTTCATCAAAATAGAACAGCTGATATCTCGAAATAATATTTTCAAGTTTTTTTTCTTCTTCATAACCTCAAACGATTTTCTATCAGACAACTCATTTCTCCATTCAAAGGAAAAGAAGACATTGGTAATGTAAGATCTTTCATGTACAAACAATAAATTACAGACATTTCAACTTAGAGCCATCCAGCCAATAGATTCATAAGCATTTCACATTTCTTTCATCATTCCATAATCTATATATCTAAAGGGTTAGAGATCTTAAATCAACCATGTGCCTTATATCAAGAATCAAATGCAAAATCATTGCCTAAAAGCACTGCAGATTGCCAATGAAAGCTTCTTTTTTGGTATCCTTAGGGAAATCATCTGAAAAATACAAACTATTAGCAACTTTATGACTAAGATTGATCTTTATTTTATTTAATAAACTATAAATTTTATGTAATAAAAATTAAAATGAGACAAAAGACACTTGAAGCCCCTAAAAGCATGAACTCTGAGAGTCAATATTGCATTCTCTAGAGATACACTACTCAATTTGTAGTTCCTTTGTCTGGAGATATTTTTGAAGAGCTTGGTTTGTTTAGTGCACAACTATCTTGTTTTACACAAAATGTGCAACTATCTAATTAAGCAGCAAGCTTCTGTGGTGAAGAAATTACTTCATTAAGTTCAACTGTAGAACGAAAGAAAAGGAAAAATAAAAATTCAAGCCTTTAATAGAATCTCAAAAGATAGAGATAGTTTCTTCAAGTGCTTGAATGTCTATAACATTAAGTTTAATTGTAGAACGAAAGGAAAGGGAAAATAAAAATTGAAGTCTTTAATAGAATCTCAAAAGATAAGAGGTAGTTTCTTCAAGTGCTTGAATGTCTATAACATATGAACTGTTTCAACAGAAAATATTGAATTGTTCCTTTTAACTGGTCTTTATTCACTGTAAAGCACTTCTATACTAATAAAAATAGCAGATACCTCGACATGAGAGCAAGAAGATTTCTTGTCCTGCAATAGTAATGCATAGACAAGAGTTCAAACCCATAAAAGATGAGCCATATATCAAAATCTACATATATTTTAGCTTAGAGCCCAAGAAGAGATGGGTCATATATCAAAATTTGCATATACCTTGCAAGCCCCAGATTCCTCCAAATTGAGGCACATACTATTTTACAAAATTGATTCATTTTATCCAAGTTTCATCATAGTGATCTCTACTCCAATGGAGTACTTGAAGTTTTTCTTTTCCTGGACCAAAACATAGATACCACATTAAAAAGAGTTGAAACAATTGACTTGTTTAAGACATCAAGAAATATATACAGATTTAAGTAGAAAGCACCCTATAGAGGAAGGATTCCTAAGAAAAAAATCTGCATTTCGTGGAATACTACAGTCATGAAGTACTTAATGTGACAAAGACAAATAGATTAAAAAACAAACTGCAAACAAAAATTTTTCTCCATCTCTTTTATACAAAAGGAAGTCAAACTCACCATAATGTCTTCAAAAAGGGAAGTTTGATGAACCATCGACAATAAAGACATGACCACCAATTATATATACTGAAATTCTCTACATGGATATCCTTGAGAATAAGTCCATGACCGTGACCGTCAAGATTCCAATACACTACAGCAATCCCAACTTTTACTTCTTTCATTTCTTAAATGTGCATGGTATTGCCCCTGCATAATCGAAACATTAACTAATGAAAAGAGGGAAATAGAAAGCCAAAGCCTGCTACTTTTTCTTTTCTTTATTTTTTTCTTATCCTTAAAGTTCAATAGAACTATATCAACCCACCATCAATTTTGCAAAAAACTTCATATATAAACACACCATCAGGCCTTATAAATGGACAGTAGCAGAACAAAATAGAGTACTTTCATACTATATAAGTACCAATCATTATTTAAAGAATTAATTCTTGCTTACTTCAACAGAATTGTCTCACAGGCAGAGACACTAGCACAGATGAATGCAGACTTGTATTTCTAACCTCCACTAAGACAACAATTCATTCCACCACCTTGGCGTCACTTTTACATAGGTCTGAATTTCCTCTGTATATTAAATAGTCAATCAACATACTGTCGAACAAGGGTGTATGAATACATTTCTAGGGAAAAAGAAAGAATTACAAAAATATACCTCACCAGCGCATAAGCAGTAAGAGGTACTTTGACAAAAGACGGAGCATGTATGATACTTGTGTCTTCTCAGAAATTCAAGATATTTCAGCTAATATTCAACGGTTTCGCAAACATGTTATATCGTACCTTGTTATAATATCCCCTTTAGATATACCAGATAGTAGGATAGAATATAGCAGGGCTAACAATATTTTTTGAATAGATGTACACTCCACGATCCATTATTGTTAGCTCCTTAATATCACTTGCTTGATGAGGACCAAAAATGACACAAGTTGCCAGAAATGCTCATCTTTTCAGGTTTTAAAGTACCACAAAAATGACAAGCCACCGGAAAAAAAATTCAGCATGAACCTTTTACAAGGGAAAAAAAAAAGACGTGTTGCTAATATATATTCGAACCAGAGAATACCATTGTAGATTTATGAATAGAGCATATCGAAAATGAGTAAAACGATCACTACTCTTCGAGGAATCAAGAATTTATTGGTGTTGGCATGTATTTACTCCAAAGCAAGTTAAATGAGATAATACTCATGACCTCCAGGCATTCAACTGTCACGCAATCTTCAAAGGAATTTTAGAAGTGAAATGTGAAAAAAGAAGAACAAAAGGAAAATGCGTTCCACATTCATTAATTTTCATGTAATCTAACTTTTCAAGTAGGTGATAAGTCACACTTGCACATATGAACACCAAATATGATTACCAAAACTATAAAAATCTTCAAAGAACAAAACTTACAAGAATAATAAGAATTTAAGTAAGGAACTTAATAATGCGAACAATGATGGTGTTGACTTTTGGACTTCATTTTCAATAATACTTGCCAAAGAAAATAATTGACTTATTTATGCCAAATTTATCTCATCTCCTTTGGTCTCACACTACGAAGCAATCACATATGTGTAAGTTTATAATGATGGAATATAATGTAGAATTCCCTGTTCTTACATGTCCACTATGTTTTCACTAAGTTATAGAATCATATAATATTTTGATCGTAGATATAATTTTTTTATTGTAACCATTCTAAATGAATCCAGCACCTACCTCTTTCACGAAAACAAATAAATTTAACCAAACAAAAAACAAAAGTCCCAAGTTTTAGAATAACAAAGCATCTGTATCATATGTATTCATGAATTTGCAGAAAAAATGCAATGAACGTGCAGTTTAAAGCTAGTTATACCAACAACAAAAAAAGCTATCCTCTCTAAGCTCCTAAAAAGTTCACGCACTTGCTGGGTACAAACCTTTCTCTTTTAATGCTGAAAGGGCCAATATTTCATCTTTAGTACTAAAAAGTTGGACAGATAGCAACCAACTTGAACCAAATATTTCTTTATTGTTTAGTAGTATCATTTAAAATAAGATTTTCAAACGATTTGCATGGTGTGTCATTTTTCCTATATGAAAAGTTATACCAAAAAGGTAAAAAGAAGTGATAGAAGGAAAGAAAAGCTTGTAGGAAGCATGACTACTTTATGATATGATTGATGAATCATGGAAATTAGATAACTTAAAGAAACATTAGAAACATGACTATTTTCAGCTTTTTTTTTCACCTCCAAACAATAGTTCTTTTTTACTTTTCAAATTTTCCCATAAGGCAGTAGAGAATAAGAGGCTATTCCACATTGAAACTTTTTATTATTATTGTATAGAATTCTAACCACCATGATCATATGGATGAAATGAATGTAATAGAGGCATAAAATAGTAGAAACAAAGTAGCAATGAAGAGAGGTTATTGTATGTCTTTGAAGATCAATGTCACGATAATTCATAGGAGTAAAAAATATGAAAACTTACTCATAAGAACGGAAAACTCTTTATGATCTTTGATATGTACCCATTAGGAGACTGAAAAAACAAACACTGAATATATAAATCAGAGGACATCTATACTTTATCAATAAAATCAGAGGACGTCTTTAAACTGCAAGTATATAGACACATAAGCGACGAATCAACGACATGACTTTAAAAACATGCATTTGCCACACGTCTAAGTTTTCTTTTTATTAACACCAATATTCAAGTAGAGAACAGCTATTTTATACAAATAGTCAAACAATCAAAGGTTGTGTAAAAAGTTCTGTGAACTTTAATTCTTGTTACTTACAGCTATGAAGCCAGCATACGCGAGAGAAAATAAAAAAAAACACCATACCCAAATCTAATACTGAGGATATCATCTACATTTAGAAATCGCAACCAAATCTAAGTACAGAATCCATCCTCTATTCTCTGAAGATTATGAAGCTACATCGAATTAATGAGAATTTGGATATTTAAAATATACTGACCTGTTATTTTAGATGAAATTAACTGACTGTCAACCAAAAGATTCCAACCATAATCAACAGAGATACATACATTCCACAATCAGAAAACCAAATAAGCATGCTGCATAGTCCTGACTAAATATAGAGGAAAGCAAACACTTGAGATGGAAAGAGAGAAAGTTTATCTTTGGTTCCGGCGATGAGCTCTAAATAGTCTCTCCTTCCTGCCTTGCACTCTTCTTCCTCATGCCTTACTATCTAACCCCAAGTTTCAGATCAGATTTAAAGAGCATCAAGAACAAAATGAATTTGGAATATACCTTTGAGAAACTGAAGAGAAGCAAAACAAATGAAGGAATAAGATACGGTCGAGTAAGAAATGAAGGAAGATGTGTTGGCTGCAAAAACAAAAGCCACCGCAACGACCAATATCAACTAAGTAACTAAAATGACTAAATTGCCCTCGGGCTTGAATTAAAAATACCACGAAGCACACACGTCAAAAAAAACCATAAAGTACATAAATCGGATGCCAAAATACTGACACAAATTGAAATTGAATACAAAAAACATACAGAAGTGATAATATCAATCTGACCCAAATCTTATTTCTCTTCTTATTTTCATTGTCACTTTCGATTCAGCTACTATGATAAGGAAGCATTAAAAATCAGGAAAAAAATGAGCGTCAATGATTCATACCTTTCATTCCACAAATACAAAAGCAAAAGAAAAGGTTTGATTGCATCTACCAGTTTGAGTTTCCTTGTATCCAAACATAATCAAACAACTAAAAGAAAAAAGAAAGAGATTAAAAAAATCATGTAAGAGCAATAAAGCAATGAAGAAGCAACAATACTGACATAGGATCGATGGAATAATACCATAGAACCCCTGAAATTAAGAATTTTGATGAATTTCCTGAACTTTACTCGAACCAGCAAAGAGCGTAAAGGTTTCAAAACAAAGAGTATCCTTGTTCTGATATGTGGCTATTCATCTTCGGATAAAAGTCATGTTCCAAGGTTTAACAACCATGTCTCAATTAAGCATTGTGAAAAGTCTCAAATATCCTCAAATACAATTGTAAAGACTTTAAGCCAACACGTCGAAACTATAGCTTTTCTTAAATTCAAGTTTATTAGTTGGCCCCTCTCTCAAATCTAGCATAAGAAGTTTAGTCTCAAGGCGTACAACTAAAAAAACAAATAAAATAAAAAACTGAGCGTGCGTCACATTTAAAAATACATTTTATCGCTCGATTTAACACACACCAACCATGGAGTTGCAAAATTAAACTTCATCACAGAGCCCAAAAGAAGATAGGGCAAAATTAGAAGAAGGGAAAAAACGATGAGGAAAATCAGCCATGACATTGCAAAATTTAGAAGGTATGGAGAATCTAGAAAAAGCACGGAAGGAAATAAAGATTAAAAAAAAACCGTGAAATTTGAGTAAGCACTTATACCCAAAAAAAATTCCTTTTAAATTAGGTTTAGAAGCTATTGATCTCAACCAAAAAAAATTTATGTGGACTGAAACTAATCGAATGAGCAAAAGAAGGAGAAACAAATACAAAACTACAAAATTAAAGTGGAAGAGGGTAGAAAAGAAGTATGAACAGAACCCATGAAACTTGAGTAAGCACTGCAACACTATACCCAAAATTTTCTTCCTTTTAATTAGGCATGATACCCATACCAGTATCATGATTGATCTCAACAAAAAAATTCGCATGTCGGATGAAACTAATTGGAAAAGCAGAAAAAGGAGAAACAAATACAAACTACAAAATTGAAGTTGAAGATTAAGGGATTGTTTAATTTATCATATGCACAGCAAAAATCATGGAAAAAATTGATTAAAATTGTACCTGCAGATAGAAGGAATTTGAGGAAGACAAAGAGAAGTGGAGAAGCAATCCAGAATTTGAAAAAAAAATTTATGCACAAAGAAATCGGGTGAAAACCTAATATGCTCCGTAGAACACACGTTCGTGTGTACTCATTTAAAACTTGGCTCAATTAAAACTTGCACGTAGCATTTTGTATAGAAAAATAAGTCACGTGTATGATATTGCAAGAATTGGTGCGAAATGACTAATATAGCCTCGACCTTTTAAAAATAACATGAAACACACATGTCGAAACTCTCTCTTTTATATAAATAGAACTAGTTACGATTAGCTCGGGCTGGGCCCGGGCCCAACAACCATAGTAAAAGGTAAAATTTTCATGCGAAGCCAAATTTTGCGTCATTCGTTGAATTTATATTCACTTTTTAGAAAAGGTTTAACTGATACCTAATTTTTAGATAATTTCAGATATATACACTTTTCTCTTTTCTTTAATTTTGTTTTCTTTTCGGGTTTGTTAACTTTATAGTTGTTTCAATAATTTATTGATCAAGATTTTTTATTTATGATATTTAAAGTTATGTTTCAAATTTGAGCTCATTTAAAGTAGATTTGAGCAGTGAATCGTGTAATGGATTATTGCAAATCAAAAAATAGGTTTATGTTTCAGAATCTAAGATTCGAAATTTGAAGTTGCATTCAATAGTGTGAACTACTTAAGATTAGAATTTCTGAAGTTGCAACCAAACAAAACTTCAAATAATATTTATTCGTATTTTCAAATATTACATATATGGAATTCTCATTAATTAATGAGCATTCTCTATACACACCTTTATGAATTACAACTCTCAATAATATAATGAAACCTTATCATAAACTCATAAATGTTGCTAATATTTAGTTTGTATTTTTGCCTCATTTTATTTAACTTAAATACATATTAGAAGGTAAAATAATTTTGGCCTAATACATACTTTGCCCCTTTAATCTGTATGCAAATTCCTTTGACACACTGCAGTTTTACGTGTAATATTCTTGTCAATCCCTTTTCAATCAAATTAATTTTATTCGTAAGGTAGTTTCTCTGCAATTCAAAAAAGAGTAGTTTTTTGTTTTATATTTTTTATAGATGAACTTCTCAATTATTGAAGAATTACTTTTCATAAAATAAATTGGTATACATTTATATTATGCTAAATAATTAAAAGCAAGTTTAATATAAATATACACATAATTAATGTTAGTGCATAGTAGGAGCTTAGTGCATCGGGTTGCCCTTTTTTATACACCTAATTAACATTAAATGTTCAAACTCTAATAAAGAAAAACAACATCTACAATATCACTTGAAGTTGCTAACCTATGAGACCTGAGTTGAGGATCTATCATAAATAACTTCATATCTGCATAAGGTATAGGTAAGATCTGTGTACATACTATCATGTGGAACTACACTCGTAATTGTTGTTCCTAACCTAGGAAACCATAAGAAAGTATTCAACATTAGTACAAGAAACAAAACAACTCTTGTTTGTTTTTGTACCTGTTAATTTTATCAAAGTTTTCAAACAAATGGAATATCAGAAAAATTTCCTAAAACCCAAATGAAGCTATAATTTTTAGAATTTACATTCACTATATTTATGGGGGAAAATCAATTATTAAGGTTTAGAAAATAAATTTGCTAATGTGTGGAATTATTCAGTTATTTATTAACTTATTAAAATACAATCCAAATATAGGAATATAACAAAATTTCGAAATAATGGCCATTCAAGATTTCCTTTTCCAAAATAAAATGTTAATGTAATATCCAAAATTAATTTAAAATTTTGAAGGAAAAAACACAAAAATAAAGTAAACAAATACATTATGACCAGTTTTGGACTTTTGGTACTCTGATTTTCCTATTTAGTGATGTTCACGTATTTTGTCTTATTATGATATCTTAAAAAGTTTTATGTTATGGAATATTAATTTTAATGTGGAAACCTAGTATAACAAATTTGAGTTCTACTAAAAATAAGGATGTTATCCTGTAGGATTCCAATAACACACTTGGGTATAGATTGAAAAGCCATGGATGATAACCGAGAGCTCTTTATTTTTCTGCTAGCACCATGAATGATGACCCAAAGCTCTTCCTTTTTTCTAATTTTTTTGAGTATTGAAGTAGATGCAATCTCTTGTTTGTTCAGTAGAAATTGGTTCTGGACCCCACATGTGCCTGACTTCTTCCACGTATCCCTAAGTCATCAAGTTTTGTGGGTAAATTCTTGAAACTTGGTCAATAAAAGGGGCTTAAATCATGGGCCAGACAGGCGTGTTGATGATACATACATGCAGTTGAAGGACCCAAACTGTCGCTTCTAGAAAAATACTATCATGCACCGTCTACCTACACAAACTACATATGCTATCACATCATGAATCTTGGATTCTTCTCAAAAGATAGAAAAAACTTATTCTTGATCGAGCTTTTATAGGTAAATATTACCTGATAGGGCCGATAGTAATACAATTTGTTGACATGATAATATCTTGCATTTTCATTGCAGCTTAGCTGGAGCATTCAAGCAGTGAGAGAATGTGACTGGGATTTTCAATAAATCTGAACCATTATTTTAATGCATAATTAATTTCTACAAAGGAAAAAAAGTTAAAGATATACGAATTTGGTAAAAATTTATCCACACTATTTATATCAAGCGAATATGCTTTACATGGTTAAGTAATAATGAGGTAAAAATGCCGATTAATTAACCATATTAGCTGATAGATGATTATGTGGAAGACTCATCTCATGCATCATTGATTTGGTATAACCCAAGTGTGAGTAAATTTTTACCGACTTTGTTGTCACTTGCAAGAAACTCCAACTCAACTTGAAGGATGAGGGCAGTAAGCAGTTTTATGTCAAAAGTGCATATTTTATTTGGAAATCCATACAAAATAAAACCACTTCTCACTAAGGAAATTGGACAATGTATCATAAAATGAAGAAGATGAAATATAAGAACAATCTAAAATTTATATTATTTCATGCCTCTGAACTTCCAAGCCAATTAGCAGGTGTAGCTACAGGTTCAGCAAAGCCACCATTGGACTAGTTAAAGTGGAAACTGATCAAGTAAAGACTAGCCTCCATTATGAGGGAAAAAATACAGAAATCAACATTGAAGAACAATGGGAAGAGAGGCAGCAAAAAAGTGAGTTAGCATTGATTTGAGAGCTGAACCATGAATAAGGCTAGTTATCTACATGGTGAATTTACAAGAGCCAAGAAAATAACAGTTGATAATACATGGTCTACATCGGTACTAATGCCAGAATTTGGTTTCTGATTATTCCCATGCACTGCTGTATTTCCGCATAGATTGGAAAGTTCTGTGAGCAACAGGGTTGTAAGCTTGCTACAGCGGAATCCAGTACTTTTGCTACATCAGCTGGTGGGAACTGTCGTTCCGAACACTTCTGCAATCGTGTACAATATACAATCAATTTATGTCAAGCATAATGATGGGAACACCAGAGCTATGAACTGAATAAGCAAAGTGAAGTATGGCTTTAGGAGATATCATGTCATATTCTGCCATAAAACACTTTGGTCAATTTTTTCTTTCGGACTTAAGTAGCAAGAAATATTCATCTCTAATGTATTGACGTGAGACTTAACAAAATGCAGGTTATATCAATGTTTTTATTATACTGGAGATCATGTTTAAGCAACAGCGAGAGACTATAGACCATCTTTTCCTTTTCCTTTTCCTTCTAATTTCTAACATATCCTCCTCGAAGGCTATCTAGCAATCTTTATGGAATAAAACTTGGTGAGGAAAGAGGAATTGCCCCTTCATCAGTCAATCTGTTTTGAGTCTCTCCTTCTTCCGTTATTTTTCAGTGATCGAAAATCACAACACATAGTCGACTTAGCTAGATAAAAATAATTTTGTAATCCAACTTGAGAAGCACGAGAAGCATCTTTCTGAGGAACATCTTACGTCAATGCAAAAAGGAGGCAAGCCAACATGGAAATCCAAAGTCCAGTAAAGGACAGAAAGTGAAAGGTAATCCAAGCAAAGGTAATTTCCATCCCCTACGTTCTAAAGCAATACTCTTATGACAAAAGCCAGCCCAAAGAAACAGAAAAATCGTATTTACCTGAATCATAAGCAAAGTAGCGACGCATTTAGTAATAAGTTCTGAAGGAATTTCTGCTTCATTTTTATCTGACATATTCTTTGACTTAGGATCAGTAGGTTGCTGCAACAGATCAATGCACTAAAAGTCAATTGATAGGAGAAGCAAAATAGCCACTAAGTGAACATGAGGTGGTAAAAGATCTCACAGTTGGCATGCAAGAATCATCTAGTGGAATCCGATCATTCACATAACCAATAGCCTCCTCAATCTTTTCAGTGGTGTTGTCTCTATCAGTAAGTGAAAGCATCGCCTACACAGACAAGTTAATCAGTATCAAAGAGAATCTACAGCAACATGCAGAAGATAATGACAAGGTCACAAACATGACTGAAGAAACATAAAGAAAAGTTAGGATGCAATGCACGATCATAAATTTTCCACTGCACGCAAAACTCTGGTGGTATTGAATTGATAAAATCAGATCCAAACAGATTACAGGTTGTCATATTATTTAACCTAGTTAGAAACTGTTTTAAATGAACTTAATATCTATAGCTTTCAAAAGAGTGTTTCAAAGAAGTTACTACACGTCCAATTTTTCTCTCTAACCTTTCATTCCTGATGTATTTTTCGAAGTATTTTGATTCGGTTATATATCGAAATGAAAAAATTACAACCTTTATGCAAAAGTATATACTATAATTTTTCAATGGAGTCAAAGGGCCCAAAAGTTCTAAGAAGCCTCCAACAAAGAATTATTTTATTTTAAAATGCTAAAGCAGAAATCACCAGGTAACAGGATAAGTATTAGAGATCCAGAGAATGTGCAATTATGCAAAACCATATTAAGAAATATTGAGGACACCAAAGCCCTAAAGATCATATAGGTAAAACCCAGTAATTAGTGCCTTATAAAGAAGTTTCTCCTCTCACTCAGATAAAAGAGGGACAAAAGCAGGTACTTCCATGAAATTTCATTTATACTGATTAAACAATAAACAGCATTATTACTATTTGTGCAGTT